CAGCCGTTGTAAAATGTAATTAGGAAGTTACACCTCAAAGTAGCGAAAAATTAATTTGAATTCAGAGTATTGTTCTCCTTTGAAAACTGAGATATTAGGCATTCTAGGGAAAAAATCCAACACTACAAAATCATTCCTCCATTCTCTATGGTTACTTATATAACTCACTGAAACTGTTAGTGAAACTGCTACTGTCTGAGGGAAGCCCGAGGGGTGGAGAGGAAGGGGTGGGTTATGCTTTGCAGGTGCTGCAGTGATGACTATCACAGGCATTCATGAGCAGCTTCTTCCAACTCAATATAAACAAACCTTGGCTAGTGTTTCTGATGGGATCAAGCATAATGACCACAACTTTTACAAACAGAAGTTACAGAGCAGCAAGGAACTTGTCTTTTGCTGTTCATTAACATAATTTATCAACGAATGTTTTGTCCTATTTACCTCAATGTATATTTCTCATAAGCTCAGCACAAATTTGGTAAAGAAAGCAGTAACAAGCCAGGGATATAGCTCAGTGGCACAAGCACCTGCCCGGCAAGCGCAAGGTCCTGAGTTCGATTCCTGGTTTCAAAAAAAAGAGCAGTAACAAAAATTCTGTTTAAACTGGCCATATTTAAATCAGAGGGCTGATTTTCTTCTCTACTCAGCATGGTTCTTCTCACTTTATTTCACATGGAAACATGTAACCAAGAACACAAAAACTGAAAGGCAGTAAATTACGTTTCTTCACACTACTCTAAGTGTTCAATGAAAAAAATCTCACAATCTTGCCCAACTCTCTATTTCCTGACCAGGACTTTAAGTTGCTAAAGAGAAAGGAACTTGTAAGGCTTTTGTGGTGCTCGCTTGTGCTTGCTTAGTGCTTTTTAATATAAGACTGATGCGAGCGATGGTGACCCTTTTAGAGCTTTTAAAGACGACAGCCTGCTGTGGCATGTGCGCCATTGGTTCACCAATACCAGACAGGATGCCTGTGATGCCTTCCTTTTACTCCTGAGGCTGTAACAGGAAAAAACATCCTTTGGTACACTTGAAGCAACATGCAGGGAAGAAGGACACACTGAACGATGAATAACTCTAACTAAGCAAACATTCCACAAGTGCCTAGGGCTTTAACTCTTCAACTCTAACCTTTGAAAGTGATTAAACCAAAAAACCAGCACACTCAGAACAGAAGGGCTGCGTCAGGAAAGCAGAGCTGCCTCCTTCCCCAGGCTCTCTGCAGTCAGCCTGGCCACTGGGAAGCAGGCAGCCAGTCTCAGTGCAGGTCCACTACGTGCAGAGCCAACATCTGTTAGTCACGGGATACAGGACAGGCAGACAATTCAAGTCTCTGACTTTTAATATTATTCTTCATGGTACCTCCGTGCAAAGAAACGGAAGAAAAGCACACTTTGACTTACACAGGACAGAACAGTGACTGAGGGCTAGTGCAATTCTTCACTTACATAAACTATGTGCCACATGTGGAAAAAGCAATTTTGGTGATTACTTTTAAAGTGTGACACTACTATCAATTTCCTAAGTATATTTTCTTATGGATTTCAGGATGGGATTTTATAACAAGATCGATAAATCCTTACTGTGCCATACTACTACCTAACAAACTAATGATGAAAAGATGTTTACTTTCTGTACAAGAATGACCATGAATCATAATCACTGGTTTGTAGCATCTTGCTTCATTCCTTTTAATAGTATCTGACGGGGTAATAACAGGCTGACCCTCGCAAAAACTTTACTGTGTGGTGGTCTACGGACCAGCCTTATTTGTGCTGGAAGAAAGCAGACTTTATATTTCTAGAGCTTGCTTTAGCTAGTGAAACAAGATTTTCTTAAAACAGGAATAAACTCAGGATTTGAGAGACTTGTGCTTAGAATCTGGTTATTCTTTATGACAAAGTCTCAACTGCCATCTGGGGACCAACTGAAACAGCACGGCTGGAACCAACACAGGTATTCCTTTACTAGACCACTTGCTGGGACGAACTGTATGTCTGAAATTAAGGGAGAGCGGTGCTCAAGATTTTGGGGAAAACAACTATACAGACCATTCCTACGCTTGCATAAAAATATATAATAGTTATATAATTAAGTGGGTTTATTTAAATTTCAGAAACAGTGCTTACTAGAACTTCTGGGTTTTTGAAGAGTTACTACATAAAACTATGGAAGATTTTATGTTTAAAAAAAGGCCTCTGAGAGGCAACACAGCAGGTGGGTGAGCAGACTCACGTAACAGGCTCTGCTACCGCCTAAGTGTGCGACCTTGATTACGCCTCCGGCTCTGTTCCAGCTTCATCAGTCAGCTAGGGAAACATGGCACCTCCCCCATAACGCTGTGCTGAAGATTCAGTGGGTTAATATACACAAGGCACCCAGACAAGTACTGGCGAACAGTAAGCACTCAATGAATATAGCTAGTACCTTTCTTCCTTTATCTGAAGGCTTAAAATATCCATAGCAGTGCTCTTCCTTTAGCAGTTTCCACACATTTTGTAGTAGAACCAGGAATTAAGAGACTGCCTGAATGAGAGATCTGACATTCATTTCTCACCCCGAGTCACCTGTCTGCACCAAGTATCTGCTGGCTCCAGGGCCTGCTCTGGGCGTCAGCATCATGCAGAGCTCTCTGATCTTCAGACATGCCACCCACGCTCTAGAGCTGGGTCCCCACTCCCACAGTGGACACAACCGCTGCCTGTCTGCGTTACAAGGTTGTTCTGAAGCTCAACTGAGGCAGTAAATGTGAAAGCACTTTGGGGATCCGGTACAGCACCATCACTGTGAAACTTCTTGATTAAGATACTATTTGGGTGCAAGATATTGAGCACACGTTGTAGGTGTACGGAGTAGGGGTGAATACAAGTATGGCTGGATGCTCTCTGAAGCAAGTCTGTTATTGCAGAAGAGCTTTTTAAAAATGTATGCAACTGTAGGTGTGCTTCTTCATGATACTGTTTATACAAGAGCAATGTGTTTTACTACAAAAGAATCTTTCTCTTCTTAAACTGCAACTCTATAGAGAACAGTAACACATCAAATATTTGGTAGAGAAATGTTTTCTTTTAGAAATTGCAGTTGCAAAGAAAATGTTAAACCATGTGTCTGTGGTCACAAATTATTACCATTATTAAGCTGTTAAGCAGCTGTTTTGTTATACTAAATGCTAAATGTTAGGTGAATAATGTTTCATTAAATACTTAAATAGCAACTCTATGAGGCAGTATACCAGCTCGATTTTATAGGATTAGAACTTAAGTGACTACAAGACGCATACTCCTAATCATTATACTATGTTATACCACAAACACACGGGAAGAAAATAAAAAGGGCTTAATTTCTAGCTTTATCAAATCACATACTTGAATAAAGAGAACTGGCAGACCTGGACTCCAAAATATACTTTGATCTTTGGTAATAAAAGTGATTTTAGAAAAGTTATTATATTAGTGCTTTTGATTTAACTTTAAATCTTTAAAAAGCTTTTTATAACTTTTTCCTCTAGTTTTAGAAAATTCTCATCACTCAAAAAAATACAAAAAAGAATTAAAAATACCCAGTCTCATCATTCAGAACCACTATTAATATATTCCCTCTGCAAATAATTTTATGTAATTATGAAATTCAGTTTTTGATGATTTGGAGATGGGGTTCTGGGGATTGAATCCAGGGTCCTGTATATGGTGAAGGATGCACTCCACCACTGACCTAAACCTCCAAGCTCTAATGATTGTTCTTAAATACTACAAAGTCTTTATTATTGGCATGTACAACTAATGAATTCTGAGTAGGTACAAAATTAATATATTATAGGTAAGTGTTATTATCTTCCCAAATTTTCCAATTTTGGGAACTTAAGCAAAACAAAACACTGACTTATCTCAGTGGTATTAGCTCCAAAGTAGGCTGGCCACAAAAGAAATGTATGTAAGTATGTCTTCATCTTTTTATGTGCGTACACATACACACACACATAATCATAAACATATACACATAAACCCATTCACATGTTAATCTCTATCCGGCTTTGTTAAAATTTACAGCCTTTTGAAGGCCTAGTAATACTATAATTAAATATATTATTACGACAGTTAAGGGGAAACTTGCTTTTTAGTCACTGTGCTTTACCAAAGGTACAGTTATGGGTGATTAAAGTCCAAGATTTTCTCTTGCAAATAGGTTAAATATAAATATTTGCTTGAGACAGGGATAAACAAAATTCTTTACAGAGATTATAGCAATCCTGAATATAAATTTTTCAAAAACTTACTGTTTGTGAATTGATATCATGGAGGAGGAAAAAAGAGGGACAAAATAGAATGATTTAGGGCCAAGATTCCCAGTATTATGCTAAAATTCATGTAATGCAACCTTGCTGGCATTTTAATCTTATTCTTTAAACTATCACCAGACATAATTTATGCAGCAAGGAAAGCAAAAGTAAAAAACATTAAGAAGTCCTTACAGAAAACAGAAGGCAGACATGGATCAAGAAGTTTTTAAAATAAACTTTATAGTGCTTCCTCTTATGTAAGAGGTTTATATTGGTCATAAATTCTAACAACTTACTCATCTTTACTGTGGTTTATTCAAAATCATACTAATTCATTATAAATAATATTTTTAATGTAAAAGATTGCAAACTGGCAGTGGGTAAGAATGTTCCACAAATTAAAAAAAGTACTAGTTTAAGACTAACCTAAAACTAACCTAGACAAAGGGAAAATTAATGGCTACTAAAAAGCAGTTTTGGATTTTAATGTATATGAAAATATATAATACATATTGTCTGTGTACTACACTGAAAGATAAATTACCAACTTCTGCATCAGCAAGTTACAACTGTATACTCTTCTTTTAGACTGTGAACTGTTTATGTCCTCAAACAGGAAATGACTGGGCCAAAATATTCTTATCCCGTCCAACTGGAAATGAGAAGTACAATGTCAAATGAGATTAAAAAAGCAACTAAGGCCTACTCTTTGCAAGAGAGAGTATCACTGTTTTACATCATTTTATTATAGAACATTATTATTTTGGTTGGTTGCAGAGGGAGTAGGTTTATGAGGTAACTATGTATAATTTTAAATAGGATTCCTTCTCATTTTACATTTATACTTCTCTTTAAAAATAGCTTTAGCTGGCTGCTAATTAAATCACAGTCATGATATACTCTCTTACTTCAGAGATTTTGCTAACCTTGTAAATAAGACAAGCAAATAATGCTGCAAAACTGTATTTCAAAAAATATACAGGTAGACAGACAATGGTGCCTCAGATTACATTTTAAATTTACCATTGTTTCTGAAGGAGAGAAAGCATATTATGCCATCTTGTCTATAAATATTTATTAAATAAATAACCACGGTTACCTGATGTTTTAAAATTTTTATAAGCTGATTAAATTATAAACATGTTGAATCAGTTTTAGGAAAAACAAAAATAGGCTTTTAAACAGTTATAAAGATAAACTATGAACTGGTGCATCCATGCAATCCTAGCACTTGAGGCTAAGGCAAGAGGATCCCAAGTTCCATCCCAACTGGGGTAACTTAAGGAGACGCTCACTGTCTCAAAAAAAAAAAAAAAAGAAAAGATAAATTACGATAATAAATTTTACAAACCTGCTAATGTTCAGTGAATATTTCCTTTGGGTTAGAAAAACAAAAACCAAGAAAGTGCATACATATCATTGTATGTTTTAGTCCTAATATCTTAGAGTTGTATATTAGAATATACTATACCTGTTAACTATATTAAGTATTTTCCATTGAAAATTATAATTTGAAGGCTTAAATCTGATTTTTAAAAACATCACAATGAATGATAATTTAAATTCTGAATATGGGTACCCCTGCAAAAAATCCCAAACCCAATAAACCTGCATTTAATGCTTATAAGTGAAATCAATTTCCAAAATAACATACCTATCTATCTATATCAGATTCAGCTGTCACAATAATTTCCTTATCACAGACAGTGACGTGTCCTAAGTCCTTCCTCCTTGAAAATTGTATTATTTCTGGGGACCCCATCACTATCTGGTAAGAATGTGTTTGTTCAAAAAAAAAAAATACAAACAACACTACCACAATACACCACCACCACGACCACCAAACCAGCTAAAGGAGTAGGTCTGCATCCCCTTAGATGCTTGCCTTTTCCTATATAAAATTATAAAGCATTAGTAGTGGTATGTTAAAACAATTTCTAATAGATCGAAACTCTCTTTTAAAAATATCTCAACTGACAATATCACAGAAGAAAATAAAGATTATGTGTAGCCACTCACATACTCTTCAAGTTTCTACTGTAATGAAAACACTTTTTTTTTTTTGGCTTAAAACAGACCTTATGCCTTGAATTGCAGGTGTTCTTATACAAATATGAACTGGAGCTTAGGTCTGTGTAAAGTTACTATGAAATTTATATATTCAAATATGCTGAATGCTATTTAAAAAAGGTTTTAAAAAGTCAGTTAAAATGCCTGGTACTATTTTCAGTATTCACTGCAAATTCTCTTATGGTAGTACTTTCTACTACAGTGTAGACTAAAGTCTTATACAGAATAGCAGCATAGATTACACCATCATGGTTTAAATAATAATAAATGACTTAGCTAGCACAGCTAGAATAAAGGAATTTCTTTATAATAAAAAGAAAACAAGGAACATAGCTTTATTTTATATTAAGTTGCTAGAAGTGAGCAATATCCATCTAGGGATCCAGAGGCAGAAGTAACGTGTTTTTTTTTTCCTAAAGTACAGTGAAGGTAGTTGATGAAGGGTGGGGGCTATGGTAAGCAGCTGCTGGCTGACTTGCTAAAATACATGCTTGAGCTCTACTGGAGCTACGCAACCCGCTTGTGTGTCTGCTATCTGTAAAGGCTGACTGAACGTAATGCCCTTCATCATGCAAGCACTGCTGTCTGCACTACAGTAATAAAGAAACACGCTGATAGACAGAACTACTTCAAGGGACAAGCAATTGCCAGGAATTCGAAGTGAAATTGTTGGTTGGTTGGAAATGTTCTCTATGTCTCCAGATGGCATCTGTCCTTGAAGAAGCCACTCATTGCCTAGAAAATAAAAAAGCAAATGATTAAGACTACATAAGAAGACAAACAGGAAACTGGAAGAAATCGTAAGAAGTGTTTTGTTTTTTGGGTTTTTTTGTTTGTTTTCTTTAAAATTAAAAAAAAAAAGAGAAAGCATCCATTCAATCAACAAACATTTATTAAATCTCTAGGTGCCAGGCATTATACCCTGCTGGAAGGACGTAAGTATGAATACAATATGACCACTATATCTAATTATTACAATTACTCTTTAGAACACTGTAAAATAAATCATGAGCTTATTTTTGTTGAAATAAAAATACTGCAAATATGGCTCTAAATCCTTAATTCCCAAAGTTAAAAATAAAATCTAATAAACTGTACAAATAAACATAGGATATGTAACATAGAGTATTTTTACCGAGTGTATAAAAACTTTTAGGGATAAAATATAGAAAGTACAAAATGAACTTTGCCGAATGGAATATAAATGGATGTACAACTCTATAGTGACTTTCTAGTTAAGACTGTGGTGAATTCTGAGGTATCCAAGAATAATAATAAAAAACCAGCCACTTCTTTAGAACTGCATATAACCTGAGTCAAACAAAGCAGAAACTAACAGATTCTGTCTATCCCAATTTAATATATGAAATTCTATCTAGATTTAAACATAGAGACTTAAATACGTATCCAAAAAATGTCCAATAAACCACTAACAATTTTTAAGCCTTCTACTATTAAAGTTTTTCTTTGACTGTCTTTATTCATCTTGAGCCTTCTCCCTCAAGGAGCATTTGTGCCTAATGAGGAAGCATAGTATTTTATGTAGACATTCGGCTTGAGAGGGTGGTGGGCATCAGCGTTCAGATTTGGGAACTATCTGAAATGCTCCCCTGCCATCTGAAGGAGAGTACACTGACCCTAATCTAATGACTTATCAAGGACTCCGGGCTTTTGTAGAAGAACTGGCCCATCCACCGGGCAGGGGCGGATGGAATATCTATACCGGTCTCTCTTTTCCTCTTAGGGTGAGTCAACAGACTCAGACCACCTGCTCCATCCATCCTCGCCATCTCTCCTTCATTACATGGCTTCTAACATTCTGTTGAAAAGTCAGATTTGAGGAAACTATGTTGAATCAGAGAAATAAAAAAGGTAATAATCTGAAGAGCTAAGTGTTGAGCTTTTATATAGGAGCTTTTAAATAATTCCCTCAACAACTCTTTGGCTTTCTTTGCTTATTGCTGGACTGGGAAGTATGTTTTATGCAACTCTTGATTTTATTAGATGAACAGAGAACTTCTTAAGTTTTAAATTAGGGCAGGAAAATAATAAAGTGTGCTATTTTAATATTGACAGCTAGAAATAAAATACAAAATATCTCTGTTTTTTCACATACATTGCATTTAGGATTTGTGAAGTTAGAGTATGCCAGACAATTTGTCATGCTGTTTGTTTTGGCTAAAAACTTTCACATAGCCTAACCACCTTAAGAATATCTGCCTCAAGATAAACTGAGATTGTGGGGTTGTGGGTGTTTCTGTATTTTGACTGACACATATGTTGTTATTAAAACATCCAGAATCCTTCCTTCTAGCTAATTTGTAATACACACTGTATTATTAGGTGTGGTCATCCTGTTATATAATAGAACATTAAAGCTTATTTTTTCCTATCTTACTAGTTATGTACCTTTATCTCCTTTCTACTTTCTACTTCTATGAGATCAGCTTTTAATTTCACATGTGAGTACGCATGAATTATTTCTTCTTTGCATAACTCATTTCACTTAAATTTCTGTAGTTTCATTGAGTTTCCTCAGTGACACAATTTTGTTTTTATGAGCAAATATTCTATTGCATATGTGTTCCCCTTTCTTTGTCAACTCATTTTTTAAGAGTTCTAATGTTCCATACCTTCACTATCATAAACAGTGAATTCCATACCTTCACTATTCCATACCTTCACTATTATAAATTCCATACCTTCACTATTATAAATAGTGCTGTAACAGCAACAACAACAAAGAGTATCTGCATCTAACTAACCAACCCAAAAGAGAAAATTTTCTTGAATGGTAAATGTATAAATATGCTCTATAAAGTAATTTTCAAAATCCCTAAAATTATTAAGAGTCTTGTCAGTAAAGCTCACTTACTTAAAGGAAAAAAAAAAGGCAGTACCTTGGACAAGTGATAAAATAGCTCAGTACTGCCCCTGTGGCCTACTTAGCTTTAATACTGCCTGGTATTTTATATCCCAAAGACTTCACATTAACTGATTTGAGTGCTTCACAAAGCAGAATTTGAAATGTTAATTTGTCAAAAACCTATTTAAAATCCAATACACTGCTCTTTATACAAACAGAAATTAAATTAGTTATCTCCAACTGATATATTCTTTTCAGACCTTTGTACACAGACACAACCATTAAACCAGCAGTCTAGAACCTGCTCTGGGCCCAGAGGGCTGTGAGTGGTCAGGGAGTCAGCAGTCTTCTGTCCACAAAGCCAGCCCCAACTGCCTAAGTTCTGCATGGCCAGCTGTCTTCCTTGTGGAGAGTCAGAGGAGTGGATTCCCTACAGGCTCAGTCAATCCCTGAAGAACCAGTTTCTCAAACTCTAGCCAGAAGTCTGCCTGGTACTCTACCAAGATCTGTTTGTCTTTTTGGTTTGGATGCTGAATTGACAGCTGCAAGCCAGTGGCTTCTGCCCTGGGAATATATGAAGGTAAGAGGGCATGAAGCCAGGATTTGGGTAATATACAAAAAAAGTGTGTGAGAGGCCGTGAGAGAGGAGTGGAAGAGGAAACGGAAGACTGAGTGAGAATGTGAAAGAGCGTGGGAGAGTAGAGAGGACGATCATTTGAGATAAAAAGTCACGTTAGGAGTTCTGGACCATGACTATTCCACTTCAGAATCACTGTCACTATGTTACAGATGTTGGAAAGCAGGACTGCATGAAGGTGACTAGAAGGAACAGTTATGGAAAAGATTAAGGAAGGCAGCTCCACTTCAGTTTTCTTTTTCATATTTTTTTAACCTACGAGGTTCTTCTTGGGAACAAAAACGAAGAACAAGGTTCGGGATAGGTACAGAAACTTTGCTAACAACTGATGTGCAACTTTCAGTGAGGTATACTGTTCTCTAATAAAGGGAGACAAAAATACTGAAGACTACAGGAAACTGCCAAAGTAGAGTTCGATCTGGAATAATTTTTTCTTATGATTGACCTTAAATCTTGCCCAAATATCACAATATAATAAATGAGAAAAGTTATCAGATTAAACAGCAAGAATTTATTAAATGTTTGCATTTACAAGATGATATGCATACCTTCAGCGGTTAGAAACCAGCAACTGGGTACTCCTTCAGTTAGCTTTGCTCCTGACGGGAGGTCCAGTCTGAGTTTGAACTGCAGAGTCTGACCAGGACAAACAGTCACCGGGGAAAGCCTGATGGCCGGGGCAGACCTAGGCAGTTTGGGCACTGTCTTTGGTTTTTCTAGAAGCAATGGGCCATCTACCACAGCATTTTCAGATTTGAAAATGGGCAGCTAGGAAATCAGAAAATCTGTTATTATAGCACAAACACTTTGAGTAAGAGAATTTATTTTCAGACTTCGAGAGAAAAAAAAGTTCCATATCAATGAAACTAACTGCCATTCTAGTCTGATTAACAGGTACAGAAAAGCAGTTCACCCTGGCAAAAAGATTACCAACATTTACAAAAGAGATGACATTACATTATCTAATATCTTTACAGATGGCAGGAAATTAAATAAAAATTATACAAATTTAAAAGTGGTGGCTACAATACACGTTTTCTTATAATTTTCATTGCCAAGTATGTTATTTGGCATATTCATACATCAGATATCTAGCGAAGACAGATGACTCTTTCGGTGGTAATCTGTTTTTTTTTCTTAATTTTAAAACATGTCTTACAAATTATTAGAATTTTAGAAAAAAAATTTGCATTTTTTTTTTTTTTAGGTCAATGAGATACATCAAGAGTATCAACATTTCTCACTGAAAATTCTATAGATCCTATCCATATTGTTAAAAGTTGATTGCAACTTGATTTTCTCCCAATCTTCAATGTCTTGAGCAATAGAGATTCTAACTATTCCCCTGGAAAACTACTTGGTAATACATTCAACATCCAAAGCAAAGCTTATACAATATTCCAAGGATCACTGAATAAAAAACAAACTGGGTCCACATGATACATGTATGAAGTTATGTGTTAGTGTATCTATACTTTTAAAAACAGATCTAAGTCTCTCTCCTTTTGCTCTTGAAGATTCATCAAATTCTCTCCGCCTTTCAGTGTCTGTTTCTCAAAATCTCAGCACAGACAGATCTTTTATTTCAAGAATTAGCATAGCCTCAAAACAGGCCTGTTGGTCTAGTTATCAAAAACAAAACAAAACAAAACAATGGAGGGATTCACTTACTACTCTAAGTGTGTCAATCTTAGCACGAGAGAGGCCCAGACCAAATATGTCTCTGTCAGTGTTGTAGCTTTTAGCATCATCATCAAAACCACACCCTTAATATATGATTTAAAATAACTTACCACAGAAATTATTTTTGTTTCTAAATCCATCACTTTAATCTGATGGTTGTTGGTGTCTGCTACATATAATAATCGGCCGTCTTCTCCAACACACAAGCCTCCTGGTTCATTAAAAGTCGCCTCAGTAAAACTGGAACTATTAACGTTATTTGTGCTTCCAGTCCCTGCTAATGTTGTACAGCTTTTCATTTTTGGATCCACAACTTTAATCTGAAGAAAGAACAAAGTATTTATATATCTGAAGACCAAGCTCATGTTTGTCATATGGAAGGGTACAGTATCAAAAAAAAAGAAAATAAAAAACAGCCAGTAAGAATCCTGATTGTCATTAGCATTCTCAACGGATCTCAGAAAAAAGTAGAAATGTATTGTTTCCTTGAAAAGCCAAACATTCAAATTACACAGTCTAAGGGAAGATACTTTACTCTAAGACCTAAAACTGTACAATCCCTAGTTGTTTTCTAGAAGAGATCTTGGATGAATTTATAGCTGAAATTAAAATGCATCAATTTTATTATTTTTCTTCACAGCGGAACATACTTGCACAACTGAATTTTCTTCTCATGAGCACTGCCTGAGGATCTGTACCTTTATTAAACTTAACAACTGTCAATTATATCTCAGCAAGTTAAGTGTATGGTCTCTCATCACAAGATATTAAATTTATTATCAGTGATTCTTATAAAAAGGAAATGTGCAGTAAAAACCAAAACAACCGAATAGACAGAAATAGAAATGCTGCCGACAATGGAATTATCTGCTACCAGGCACTTCAACTATGCAACAGCTCAAAAATGTTATCTTTTAGCAGATATAATTTTCCCTGCTACTTGCCTTCTCTTACTTCCTGAATGTTACTAGGCAGTTCACAACTTTAGCTCACAGCCATTGGAACTGGTTTAGAGCTTTCCCTAGTTCAGACACATCATAACCTCTTGACAAAGAAAGGACCAAGAGGAGCACAGAACAGAAGGTCCATAGTTGTCATGGCCGCTGTTCCTCTATATTTTAGACTAGCACCCACAAGAGGCACTCAGATAGTTCACCATTTGTATTCTAAATGGACGAATAGCAAGGTATTACATAATTCCACAAAGACTCACCTTGTGGTTATAGGAGTCTGCCACATAAAGCAAATTCCTCTTCCTGTCCCACGCTACTCCAAGTGGGTGCTGAAGCTTTGCATCGATGCCTACTCCATCAACATCACCAAAAGCAAATAAATTCTTTTATTTTTTTAAGGAGAAAGAAATAGCAGTTATTAAAATTTTCACAGTGCTTTGTTAAACTATAATGTGAAAATTAAGATAGCTGAATGTGCTATTCAAGGCCAAGGGGAAAGGTCTGATTTTCATATAAACAGAGGTGGGTACTGGATGCAGACTAATAAGAAAGTACCGAATTGTGAGTCTGCACTACTTTTTGGTGTGTTGTTGCTTTACTTAACAGTTCTGACGTGTGGTCAGGAACAGGCCAAGTCTACTAGTCTGCTGTTCGTTCCAACCCACTGCCAGATACGTAAAGTAGACACTTCTCTTCTCCCTAGTGATCACTATTTTATCCTTTCTTTTTCCGTGAGGACTTAACATTTACACAGGAACAAGTAGACTGAGATTATTTTTTTAGATGGCTTTACTTGTGTTTCTTTATATTTACATTTCCTTTTATTTGACTTCCATTTTAATGCTTGCATAAGCCAAGCATGATCTCTCCTAGATTTATCATAACATCTCACAATTCGGGAAACTGCTAGCACGGTCAGTGTCAAGGCACATTGTAAAAGCAACTTTCTTTACCATGGGGTCTCTTTCTCCTCCAATGAGGTGCTTCACTGCTCCGTCTTTCAGGGAGACAGTTCTCACAGTGCTACTCTCACTATCTGCTACGAACAGGCAGTTCCAGGGATCTTCAGAGGCCAGAGAGAGACCTGAGGGTTGGGCAAAACCCGCCTTGTGTGGATATGCGTTGTTTCGATTCTCTTCATTTCCACTGCCCGCAAACCGAAGACAAGTTCCTTTTTTCAGCTCACTGAAAGACAAGTTCATAGGTGGAGTCAACAAGCGGGAAACGTGTCAATTTAGTTATGAAATGTGTGTGAGGGAAAAAATCAATGATGATAGCACTGTAAAAGAGGGAGGGGGCAGGGAGAGAGGGTAGGAGCGCGAGGGGAGGGGTAATCTTAGCTTATTACTGATATGTAGAGACCTTCCTAATTTTTCTTCAATGTAAACATAATTGAAACATATCTCAAAGGCCATATGGGAAATTCCTGACAGGATCAGAACTATAACAATAATAATTAGATATTAATAAGATCTACTCTCATTTCTCGATTTCTTCTTTGCTTCAGGAAATAGCATGTTCTGAAGGGGAATTATCGAGATTATCTAGCTCTTGAAAATGACACAGGATCACTATGCTACATTAACTAATCAGCTGTACACCATCAATTTCTTTGGTACACTTGGGAAATGTCTATTTAAAGGAGTACTCCAGCAGTGCCCTGTAACGCAGAGAGAGTTTTACAGCGTAATTTCTACATTTATGCCAGAAAGACTGTAAAGAAGACATGGTAGTGTGTTAGATGGGGGAAGGGAAGAAACAGGACTAGAATGCCAAATGAGGGACTGCATGCATGCATTTCTAAATACGGTACAAGGGGAGAACTTTAAAATGACCCTCACTTACTGACTGACACATTCCCAATGCTACAGGAGGTAGGAAGCAGGGGACAGAAGAAAGGGATAAAGAATGCATAAAAGATAGGATTTATTCAAATCAAGATAGGATTTATATGTAAAACAAATAAATAAAAAAGTAATTATGGTAAGGAGTCTTAATACTTTAAAAAAAAAGAGCGGGGAGAAATTGTAACTTAAAAATTCGGAGGCCCGAGGATGTAGCTAGAGTGCTTGTCTGAGCCTTGGGTTCAATCCCCAGCACTGGTAAACAAACATGAGGGACCACTACCACCGGATGACCAGTCACACAGAAAGACAAAACCTACCTACAATTAAGATGCAGTCAACGTGAACCGGGTGACCATTTCCTTAGGAAGAACACTAACAATTCTACTTATTAGGAAATTTAGGCAGCCCCTGACCATCTATGTCCAACAGAGCTATCACCCAGACAGCATATTCTGGCAGGCCGTTTCTTCTGTTTGCTGTTTACAGTTACGTCTCACCTACACCATTATTGGTAACCTCTGCTGTTCTCTTGCTTGGAGAACAGCAACAGCCTCCTTAATGCTATCTCTGTCTCCAGTTTTGTCTCACTCAGAATGTTACCAGGGTTCTTTCAAAGACACAGATCTATTCATGCCACTTCTCAGCTTAAAACGTTCTGTAAAGGCCGGCAGAATGTCCAAATCTCCCCGAAGGACTCCCACTGACACCATCAGTGTCAGCTCTGGCCTGGAAAACCTCCCGAACTCTGCCACTTCCAGGTGGTCTTTGACATCTCAAACCTTATTGGTAACGAGTGTCTCTCTTATGTCTACACAGGACAATTTCAATTCAAAGGACTACTTCAGTGACTCCTTTTCCACACCTATTTCTGGTTTGTCTGCGGATCCGTTCCTCTGTAAGCTCACTGAGGACAGCCTCCACGTACTTCCACTCTACCCTAAACACAGTGGGCAGCACAATTTTGTCCCTAGTGCCTGGCAGCACACCTAGCGTGCCGTGGGTTAGTACTTTAAATAAATGATTAACTGTTATAAAGCCTGATATAATTGTGCCCCAAAGCAACAGCCACACACACATGCTAGTTTGCATGATCTATATAAATGCTCTTTTCTGCTGATAAAAAACAACAGCGATGACCAGCACTTACTTTCTGTGGTAACTCAGCATTTATGGCCTGTAACTTTCATTCATGTATTTATTCTGCAAGCTTTTAATAAGCTTCTGTTATGTGTCAGCTACGGTACTAGGTACAGAGGACACAAAAATGAACAAAAGAGAGGTCCTTTCCTGAAAAGATAGTCTAACAGGACTAGTTAAAAATAAGTGCAACCAAAAAGAGTGAGGGAGAGAAGAACCGGGGATGAGGCGGCCAAACTCGTCCGTGCGGTGATGCAACTATACACAGGTACAAGGCCGGAGGGCAGAGCGGGGCAGGCTCTGTGTGGGGTGGGAGGGAGAGAAGCGCTGGACAGCAGACTAGAGACTGTGCGGGACACTGCCTGTTCGTCTTTATACACCCAAAGGTGGCAGCAAAGCTACCTACACTTACTGTGTGTGTCAGGCACTTCGTTCAACTCTTCCCACAGACCGTTACTGCTCAAAGTGAGCCTATGAGGTGTCATGAATCAGGAAACCGAGGCTTAAAGCAAAAGGGCCCTTCCTAAGCTCAGAGAGACAGCAAGTGGCACAGCCAGGATTCAACCTCAGGCCTGATGACAAAACCCGTGCTACGAACGACTGCCATGTGGTACTCACTTGTTTGAAGGAATGGCTACAGACACTTGAACGATGTTTTAAATGATAAAGGCCCATGAAGTATTTCTAGCTCTCCTACAAGGTGCTCAGGAGGACTGCTCTTCCTAGGCTCCCAGAAGTTAGGTGTGGCTGCAAGACTTACTGCCACCGAGGAAGTGTGAGCAGAGGTGCTGTGTCATTGGAGCAGAGCTTTGGGAGCCAGTGACGCACCACCTCCGCTCTCCTGCGCTGCCAGGAGGACTGGCAGAGCTCCAGAGGGTGACTGCTTCATCACAGCCTGGGTGGTAAAGCAGCACTTCCCAGTAAATCTATGCAAGGTAGCGTGAGAAAAGCCTTGGTCTAAGCCGCGGAGAGCGCAGGCTGTCTGCTAGCGTAGTCTAATATAGTACATCCTGACCAGCACAGTGGGTGTGCTCAGATGGTGACTGGAAAAGGAATTCTGTGAACGACAAAGCGGGCACCAAGAGGGATGCAGCCACTTACTTCTTCTTCGGCAACTTGCCAGACTCCAGCAGGAGTGCCCATATCTGGTGAATCCCTGCCATGGCTATCCACAAGGTATTATTCCTGGGGACCTCTGCATCTTCATAAAATAAACAGCAATTGTTACGGATCTATTCGGTTAATACGAACACTTCAACTGCTTCACACATTTCAATTCATAGACAACATATTCATAAATCATCTAATACAAAAATAACATATGCGATGTTCAAACTTGAAAATATTCTCATTTCTTTTAAAAGGTTTATTTCTTTTTTTTTTTTTTTTTTTTTTTTTTTTTTTTGGTTTTTCTCCGGTACCAGGAACCGAACTCACGAACTTGCGCTTGCCAGAGCAGGCGCTTTTGCCGCTGAGCTAAATCCCCAGCCCCTAAAAGGTTTATTTCTTCAAACTTGTAATTCTACCTGTAAAAATGTCCAAAGTGTCCTTTTTGTTTTTTTAATGGGATACAGTGTGATAATTCAATACATGCATACAATGCATAATGATCCCATCAGGGTAATTAGCACATCCACATTCTTAGAAACATCCAGTGTCTTGAATGTTCCTCTGCATCTCTCAGCACAATGATTTTAATTATTTGACTTCTGAGGCTGACAGAAGAGACTGGCTGACACACACTCTCCAAAGAACCCTTTGCCAGTGAAACACCCAGAGTAACCTGTACGTTATACATACCCGTATCAGATTCTCTAAACAATTTCCATGGAAGAACTGAATCAAGAGTTTAAGAAAAATGTATTCCATCACAGTATAAGATTGGGACTCTCACATAAATTAGAACAGCTATTTAAAATCCATTGGCTAGCTGGTTATGAAACTAAATAAAAGAGGTGCTGACATAGGAAATGACCAAGAGTATGATATATTACAATACAGCTATTTACTAACATTAACAATAAATGTTCTATTTTTTAGTCAATGATATCAACTTTATTTTATTTGTATTTTCTTTAATTTCAAGTGGTCTGTGTCCATAAGGACTTTTTCTTCTGACTTTCAATTTAACAAAAAAAGGGCCCAATGATGATGATGACGTTCTCAAGGAACTGTGACTGTTAGGTCCCAAGCACTTTACCGAGATTCGTCCTAAAACAAGTATTGTTAGCAGGCCAATTTACAGCCACATAAACAAGGCTTGGTTGGCATGGTAAGGTTAGGTAACTTGCCAGGCTTACTCAGGTAGCACAAGAAGGAATGGCTCTGAACCCTGGCAGCACACCGGAAAAAATCTATGCCCTTAACCACTGCACACATTGCCTCTTTCCCTGTTTTTTAACTGTTATCCCCCAAAAGGCTAAAATAATTTATTTTAATTTACTTTTCATACTCAAATATGTGTGTAAACATAAATTTTACTAAAAGTGTCACTGGTCTCCACATACTCCTGGGACTCAGTCTCTATTTAATCACTTTAAAACTCGAAAGAAAGCTTTCCACAATTAATTTTTAACACACCACACTGCTCCGGCAATTACTCTATGGATAATACTCTGGGACAACTAGAATGACCGGGAAGCCTAAGCTAATAAAATATTCCCTTATTTTAGTACACTGACATTCAAAGTGCAGGTTCAAAGCACGGGGAGCGCTCAGAATAATGCTTAGAGACAGCAACACTCAAATGCCAGCCATGATTATTATTTCATGTATCTGGATCTGTCTTACAGGATGCTGCATTAGGGCAGTAGAAACACATTTACAAACTGAACAGCTCTTAGATAGATGGCATGAGGGTAAAAAGTATGACACAATGTCTTTCACTTCAACTTTTAAATTTTATAGGAAGCATCAATAATGCACATATTACCAACAGATCGCATCTCACAAAGCTCTCAGCTTACAATTGCTTGTGGTAAATCTAAAATACGTGCAATAAATCCAAGATTACAAACTCTTCAGCTTTAATTACTTAAAATAAGTTTATGTTTCTGCTTAGACAATGGTATTAACTAAGGAAATGACCAAATAAAATTAAAACGTTAGAAAGTAATATAAAAAAGATACAAAATTCAAAAATGTGCAATTCTCATTAATTTTAACTTAGAAATGCTTTCCATACATAATATTAAAAAACTTATCCTTATTCAGTAATATTTCTAGAATATTACTTAAAGAATTACAAATGATTATGGTTTCAAGCTCACTATTCAGCTGGGCATGGTGGTCCACGCCGGTAATCCCAACACTTAGAAGGCTGCGACAGAGCAATTCATAAATCTGAGTCCAGCTTGGACTATATAGTGAGCTCAAGGCCAGCCTGAACTGTATAGTAAGACCCTGTCTCCAAAGAGAAGGCAAGAGAAATCAGGTTCACTACTCTGTCCCCCATTTTCTCTGAATGAAGTACGCTGTTCTGGTTGTGTGGTAGACCCTGAAAAGAAGAAAGCTCTGGGAATATCTCGTCCTCGAATTCCTTGGCTGTGGAACCAGGTACACATTTAAAGCCTGACTGTAACATTTTGAAATCTGTGTGCCTCACTGCCTCCTTTGTCAATGAGGATATCACTGCCAAGGCAACATCAAAAAAGTGCCTATTAGCACATGACCGTAGTCAATAATATTTGCTGTCTTTCAACTCAGACCAAGCACGTTCCCTCTTTCTTCTTCCTAGAATGCTCAGCCTCTAGACGCCCATATTCATCCAGATCTCTCCTCAGACTTTTTCCCTGCTCCCCTCCCTTAACAAGACACATGCACACAAACTCCAGAGTTCTCTGGTCCCTTGCCTTATTTTTCTTTGTAGCATTTATCACTTTATTGTATGTTATATATTATTTGTTTACCGCTTTTCTCTTCTGTTGAGCACATCACCTACGCAGCTTTGTTTTACTCAGTTTTATTATCAAGAACTAGAATAGCAAGTGGCTCATAGTAGATGCTCATTAAATATTTGTTGAATAAACTTTCTACTAGATATTACAAGAAAAACGGTCTCTTTTTTTGTCATTATACCCACAAGCCCTAAAGTTATCCTAATGACAGCTAGTATTTTCTAATATATTAATGACTCATCTCCAATCAAAGAAGTCTGCTACAAATGTGAATCTGTGCCATTAGCCTCTAAAACATGCATTCTATTTTTTTTTTTTTTTTTGGTTTTTTTCTCCGGTACCGGGAACCGAACTCACGACCTTGCGCTTGCCAGGCAGGCGCTTTTTGCCGCTGAGCTAAATCCCCAGCCCCCAAAACATGCATTCTAAATGAGAGCGAAATATAACCCCAAAAATAGTTTTGGATATCTGATGCATACTTTTTACGGCAATACAGTCATGCTCAAACATTTCTATGATAATAATTATTTTATTATACATTACTCTTATTTTTTATATTTTCAAATAATGTAAGTATAGGTGGATTATATTATGCAAATTCAAATTTTTCACATAATTTGTTACAGGAAGAGGGATTTGGGATCTGATAGGACTGAGAATTCTGAAATACACATAAAAATAAAGCCTTTCAACAACTCTAACATATTTCTAAACATAATAAAAACACAACTCTGTGGGTGCAAAAGACAACTTATTAACTATGATAAAACTTCCAAAAGAATCTATGGCAAATATATTTAATAGTGAAATACTGTAACTATTCTCCCTGTGAACAAAAACAATATGAATACACCTCCTGTCAGCAGCACATGTAGGTTCTAGTTTATACAACAAAGAAGGAACAAAAACCCAAAAAGTACACTAGAAATACAACTGTAACTAATAACATGACTATATATGCACAGAACACGAACTGTTAGAATTCAGTGAACTTAGCAAAGTCATTGGATATAAGGTCAATAAATAAGAGTAAGTTCTATTTCCATGCCAGCAAATAAACAGAAAAACATCGAACACCTAAGGGTTTTTAAAATCTAATTTAAGAAATGTATATGCCCTCTTGCCCGAGACTCACTATTACACAGGAACAAAGTAACAGACGAAACACTCCACATCCTTCCGGCTTCTCAGGTCATACACCCCTGGCACCCTTGGGCTCCTTTCTCTCACAGGCCACACAGGAGCTATGAGCAGATCCTGTTGGCTCCTCATTCAAAATATATCCAGAACCTGACCACTTTTTACCAACTTCACCATCCTCTAAGCTACCATCCAAAATTACTACAAGAGCTACTTCCTAACTGGTCTCTCATCCTGTTGCTATCCTGAAAGGAGCCTTTTCCTCTTTCACATGAATTTCTATCCTAACAAAATCTGAGAAGGCTGAGTAAGGTAAATTTAACTCTTGGCCTTAGATGTTTTAGAACCTCTGTCTTGGCAAAGGAGAATTATGCTAGTGCATAACTAAGTACAAGGTCAAATACGGGCTCCAAGCTAGATCACGAAGGCCAGCCTAGCTCAGCCGGCAAAAGCTTTTCAGTGAGAAAGTGTGAGCACCTGTCTGGCCTTGTCTCTGTGTATTTATTTGAGAAGCCAGAGCAGTGAAAAAAAGTGTAGGAGCAGGGGCTGCACAGATCAGGACTCAGGTATTTTGGGATGATGGCAATATGGTAACCATGCAGATCATTTTCTGTGTTTAAGCACTGAAACATATCAGTTGTTCCCTTTAGGAACTTGAAGCTGGGCATGGAGGTGCACACCTGTAATCCCAGCACTCGGGACACTGAGGCAGAGGATCGAGCAAATTCGAGGCTGGCCTGGGCTATACAGGGAGTTCACAGCAAGCCTGAATTATACAGTGAGACCCTGACTCAACAAACAAACAAACCAACAAAAGAAACTTGAGAACTATTATTACATTCATTTTATAAAGAAATCAAAACCCAAAAAGATTACATAATTTGCAAAAATTCACAAAACAATCTGGACTATGGGTTTATTAGTGAACTGAATTTAGAGACTAGCGTTCTGATAAGAATGGAACTACAGAAGGGAACTTGTGGTCTTCTGTTCAGTTCTCTGCTTGGCCCCCTTTTTTTTCCTTCTCCTCTGGCTCTGACCCATGAACCTACCTCTGGCCAATGTAGCCAAGTAGATTTTCATGTGGGATCAGATAGAGGTGTGATCAAATGTATCCACAGCTTCTTACTCCAGCATGTGAAGCTAGGTTTACCCCTTCTGCCCT